CTATATCAGGACCAAATAGTACATTTTGAGATGGTAAATCAGGAGGAAGTACATCTGAAACTTCAGGAGATGGTGTATCTCGAGAAGGATCGTCAGGACGTCCATCAGGTGGTTGTGTATTTGGATACAGTTCACCTGAAGGAGGTAATTCCAGAAGAGGTTTGTCTGGAGGAGGTGGATCAGCGGGAGGTCCATCAGGAGGGGGTCCATCTGGAGAAGGCACATCAGGAAGTGATACATCAGAAGGAAGTACATTTGGAGGAAGTATATCTGCCGAAGCTTTAGGAGGAACATCAGCAGAGGATGAGTCAGCTTTTTCTGCAGGTGGAGCATTTCCAGCTGGACTGTTTGGAGCTAATGCACTGGATGGAGAATTTCCAGAAGAAGGCCTATCAGTGGACGTGTTTGTTTCTGGAACCTTGGTTACTCCTGTTGTTGTGGTGGTGTCATCAGCAGATAGAGGTGTATTGGCGATGAGGTCATTGGTACTTGTCCCGAAAAAGTTGGAGCCATTGCTGTCTGACGTGGATGTGGGATCAGTGGGTGGAGTCACTGAGTCAGAAACAGGCCTCCTATAGTCTGATCCACAACTTGTGGTTAGGTCAGTACTGTAGTTACGGGAGGGATTACATGTAAAGCTAGCCAAAGTGTCGGATGTTGTGGTAACTGGACCAAGTGGAATATCTGCCATGTCTGATGTTGCGCTGCTAGGTCTAGCTATGTCCGTTGAAGGGCCTGCTGGCAGTGTATCAGAACCTGAAACACTACGGACAGCTGTAAAAACTGCAGTCAGGGTATCAACTGTAACGGTATTAGTAGGTTCTGCACCAGCTACGGTTGACTCCTCACCAACACTTGTACTGAGGAAGTAGGTTGTGAAACCACCACTGGTTATGTCAGCTGTAGCAGTGCCCTCGGTGTTTGTTGTAAGGAATGCATCGGGTGAATCAGTAACAGCGAGAGAGATGTCTGTGCTTTTAAACAGTACATCTGTAGACCATGTGTCCACTAAAGCAGTACTAGTACTATCTCTGGTATTAATGAGGTCAGAATTGTAAGTCGTAGCTGCAGGATAGGCAGAAACTAAAGTCATAGAGAAGGAACTGTCGGTTGCAGTCGTGGTGATGGTGTCAGTAGTCGTAGCAGTAGATGTAAGTATCCAAATATCAGTAACAGAAGTCTGGGTCGTGGGTAAGGTACTGTCTGTAGTAGTGATAGTAGCAGCTGTAGTAACAGTCGTCGTGTCAGTCACTCCATCTGATGAGGCAGAGGGTCTGTCGTCAGAGTCACCAGCCACTGTCAGAGAAGAAGAGTTATGAGCATTTAATAAGGCTACTCTCTACAGAACATTAGGGAAAATTAGAAATATTTAAACCACTACTGACAGAAAACTTCTACACTACTGGCTGTACTGCTGCTAGAAAAAAACCCAGTGATATTATGTTGTTTTTTTGTTGCATTATAGGTGAAAAAATAACAGTGACACTATGTTGTTTTGTGCATGTTTCACGGCCGGGCAGATTCCATCTCATATTTGTTAATACATTTTTACTCTTGTGGTACATGAGCCCCGGTTTGATTACTGTGAAGATTAAAAAGTCAATTTTCATGATTCCAATTTGGTGTTTGTGTCTGACCAGAAGTGTGTTAATTGAAACTGGTGAAGTGCAAAAACTCACTCAACATCACAGCAGCCTATTGATCTGCCTCTCTTCTGTTTGTTCTAGCGTAGACTCAGTTGATATTTCATGTCACAGTTGCATCTTGGGAGATGTTGAAATATTTATTTTTGCCCCGATCTTTACTGAACTAATCGTCTTATTGTTATTAATAAGGTAGATTTTCGTTGCTGTGAAAACGTGAGTTACCTGTCGTGTGTGTGTGAGTGTGTGTGTGTGTGTGTGTGTGTGTGTGTGTGCCGTTGTAAGATTAGAGACTAACACCCTTGTACACAGATTAACGCATACACACACTCGCCATCTGCCGGAGTGTTAACCTGCTCTTAGACTCGTGACTCTCTCAGATTAGTGGTTGCGGATTTGTGATCAGTGACCAATTACCTCTTTACTGATGGACAAATGCTAGTGTCTTTTAGAAATACAGAAAATACTCAGTAATACAGTAGCACTTGGGCTATGATACTGTGAAAAATGACTTTTTGATTTCGTTAGACCCTTAAGATTGTGTCAACATCAGTGGCCAATAAAACTGGTAGGACTGACATGAACAACAGACGGGTGTACTTACTTGCTTCTGTTTCTTCTGCTTCACCTGGAATAACACAGAACATGTACATTGTCAAGTTTCACCTGTCAAGGTAATGGTTTATTGTCCACAAGAATCAACAGATGTTTTTAAAATGCATATATCATATAGGCTGCACTAAATATAGGCCACATCTCTAGTGCTATTTTTGCAGTGAGTGTAGTTTTGGTCATGGTTCATTTGTTCTTACAGGTAGAACTACATTAATCCCTCAGGAGTTCCTTTGGGAAACGAAGGATTATATGTAGTAGATTATACACTCACCGGCCACTTTATTAGGTCCACCATGCTAGTAACGGGTTGGACCCCCTTTTGCCTTCAGAACTGCCTCAATTCTTCGTGGCATAGATTCAACAAGGTGCTGGAAGCATTCAGAGAGTTTGGTCCATATTGACATGATGGCATCACACAGTTGCCGCAGATTTGTCGGCTGCACATCCATGATGCGAATCTCCCGTTCACTCAAATCACCTTTCTTCCCCATACTGATGCTCGGTTTGAACTGCAGGAGATTGTCTTGACCATGTCTACATGCCTAAATGCACTGAGTTGCCGCCATGTGATTGGCTGATTAGAAATTAAGTGTTAACGAGCAGTTGGACAGGTGTACCTAATAAAGTGGCCAGTGAGTGTATATACACATACATATGTACATATATATTTGGCAAGCAGTGTGGTGGTAGAATGTATTAACTAAGAGAGTCAAAAAAGAAAGTGCTCCTTTATATGGAAATATATGGCTCTATACGTCTTATCTCTATAACATACCGGAGAATTGGCTAATTTTTGTACATGGAATTTGAAGTATGGTAACCCATACTTCAAGTATACAGTATACACATATGCGTTGCAGTACATACAGATATTGGCAGTGCCTTTGGGCAGGGGTAGGTAGGACGCAGGTCTCCAGCTGAGGGACCTGAATCCTTTGTTGCAGCGTTGACAGTCCTGTCCGGCGGTGTTGTGCTCACATTCACACTGGAGCGTCGCGTCTCGTATCACACACTGCGATGCATGCAGGTTGCACTTGCACCTGCAGGGGCGTACATACCAACACGGCACAAATCAGCCTCTTTTATCATAGTCAGTGTTTGGTTGACCGACCACAGTGAACATGTCAGATCTAATCTCGTTACCTGGCTGGTACATCGATGTTGGAGATGGCGTAGAAGTACTTCAGCAGGTTGTCTCTCTGAACATAGGTTCCTCCCAATGCTGGCTGTAGAAGCCTTAGCCTTAGGTTGGTGAAGGTAAAGAAGTCCTTTAGGCCCTTCATGGTTTCCATACGTGTGTAAAGAGCATCCATGTTGATCAACTTCGGACCTGCAAACACGCTGAACCGAGCTCGCACCTCAAACATCACAACCTTCTCCTCCTGTCAATCAAACCACAGCCGTCAGTCATTTGTTAATCATCGTTGACCAGTCATAGTTTCAGCAGCCCACCTTGGCTCCGACCCAGCGGGAGTACTGTTCAGTGCAGATTACTCTGGTTATGTTACTCGGTGCTAAGTCAGCGACTCGTTTAGGGGACATGCCAAATGTCTCCAGACAGTCGTCAGCGTAATATTGATAAGGCTGCCAAGTAACACCTGGAATAAAAATGAGAAAAAAACACACCTTTAAAAACCAAAGAGTGTGATCCCGGTCCTGGTACCAAAACCAGCTGAAACAGGTCTGATAGTGTGTACTCCTGGTCACCAAAAGATGTTAAACTTAAAAAGGAGAGATGATGGAGAAGAGAGAGACACACCGTGGCGCACTACTGCAGAAAACCTCTAGGTCCATTACCTTTGTCCATGGACTTCTCCAGCACCATGCTGGTCGGTCGACCATACTCAAAGGTGATAGTGATGTCATCAACAACTTCCAGACTCTTGTTCCAGGACAAAGTGATGTTGGCCAATAGAGGCTCAGGATACTTGGACCATGTGACTGTCTGCCAGTAGGTGAGGAGGCCGCCTCTCTCCCTGTCTCCCATTAACTGGGGAGGGTGAGACAGGTCGGGGCTGGATGCATCACATTCGTCACTGCACAGGTAAGGGTTCTCCTGAAGAACACAGAGTCAGAACTTCTACGTGTGTCACATGTTTTAAAACTACAGCAATTCAAAGTTTGTCCTTGGGATCCTAGGACGCTCTGCTGCTGTAGTCTGCCCAGTGATTTGGCAGAAGTTTATTATACTGATGCCAACTTTGGTGCAACCCAGTCAGTGGTTTGATGACTAGGTGGTATTAAAACAAATAATTCTAGAGGCCTCTCCTTGCACCACCCTTAGTGGCCAGTAGTGGTCACACATGTTTTTTTTAATTAAAAATTAAAATTGTCACAAGGGTGACAAGGGTTTAAAATTTTGAGATGGGGTCAGGGATCAGATGTAAACATTGTGTGTGTGTGTGTGTGTACATGTACACCAAACCACTCCCACTCAGGTACAAAAGTGGTGATGGGTTGACACGCATGTTAATCTGATCAGTGTGTGTTAGAGGTTTAGCATTAGCTGCTGATACCAACTGTCACGCTGCAGCTGAGAGAAGAATACCTATGGTCTACGTAGACTGTCTGAAGAACCTGATCCCCAATGTTTATGTTCCTGCAGTGTGGCAGGAACGTAGAAATACTGATAGTTAATAATAATAATTTGAACTTTTTTGATCCCTTATTTGGGAAATTATTGTGTTGCCCCCAGCAAGCAGTTTCTTTTCTCTCTATCTTCCGAGGCAGGCGTGCTAACCGCTACACTATGGAATCGACAAAAATTGGGCAAGTCAGATTAGCAGAGGATGGTTTCGATCCATCGACCTCTGGGTTATGGGCCCAGCACGCTTCCGCTGCGCCACTCTGCTGTTGGCAAAACATCA